TTGGAGCTTTATGCCATGGTGAAAATCGGTTTTGTTAAGAGGGTATCGTAAATGAAGTAAGATAGTGTGCTCCAAAACTACGATTATTTCTATTCCTAAAAGTAACTCAAATCTCCTGTAAGTCACGTACCCGCTCCTTTGAATAACCGAAAACAAGATTTTTAGGGTGTTAGATCGATTAGAAACGGTTGTCGTCGTGAAATTTGTCGGTAAAATCAGCGCATATTTTCCCAGACAAAATGGCGATTTAGGGTGGTCGTGTTAAAACGGCATTTTCTCAAAGTTAAGAAAGCATTTGACCTAAAAAAATACATGGTGCATTTTCCGATATATTAAGGTATATCTGGGCAAAATTTGAGCAAAATCGATTTTTCCGTCGTGGCCGCCTTATGTTTGATTTTTGTGGACATCCTCTCTTAATATTCATACAATGAGGGTGAGGTAATTAAAGCCCCGTTTACAAGACAGTCATTTTGGGTACGGCACGCTTAAATTTTGGCACGCGGACCTACGCTTTTTGGATCGCCTGTTGCGTTTACACGACGAAAGTTTTGTTCTAAAATTTTTGGGTTCGGCACGTTTAAACTGGGAACGGCACTCTTACATACAGAGTCAAAACCTTGACTTCACACGAAATACCTGATCTATTCAGCCATAACTTTTTGGTGTATTAAACTTTATTCCGAGCCGTTAAATTTACATTTCATTTTTACGAATTTTCTCAGCTTTCTCCCGAGTAAAATAAGCATAAACTATATTTTTATTGAGATAGTTTAAGTTTTCGAAAATTTGTTTTCGAAAATTTCTAATTAATATTGAAATTTTCGAATATTTCCATTTCTCTGCTTAGACCAGATAAATATTAACATTTTCGTAAAAAATACAAAGTTAGTGTATTTCCATGGCCATGCATGTATTTTGTCAACTATAAGAGTAGAAACTCATATAAACCTAGCAAAAATACAACTTTGTCATAAAGCAATAAAGTCATATAATAAAAATATAGGAATTAGGATGCCATTTTGAAAGCGTGGCAAACAAGAAACACTGCGTCTTTTAATTGGCAACACTAAAACATGCAGTAACCTCTCATATAAACTGGCTGACAAGCAGTGACAACTGATATTTAAACTGATATTTAGATATTCTGTTTTATTTCGTTGAAAATTTATACTACATATACCAATTTATACTAGAAAATACATGCATGCAGAAACCCTCGCCTTGCTGACAAAACCGTTGTATTTTCCGAACATGAAGTATCTAGAGTAGTTGTCATGGTAACACGATAATTTTTTAAGAATATTCTTTCAAATGAAAATCGCCTAAAAATATCACTTTTAATTACAATATTATCAATTTCCCAACATATATATGTTAGGTATGTAATTATACGTAATACAAGCTTCAATTTAAGGTAAAATTCAACCACAAACAATTCACAAAACGTTTTAAAGTGTTCTTTATAAAACTAAACTGCCTTAATTTAACTATTAAATGTCTTTATCGATAAACTTTGAGTTTGCAATAAAATGATTTCAAATTCTCGCTTGCAAATAACTTTGCTTTCTTTCTTATTTAAAAAATTCAATATAATAAAAAAGGGAATCATTATTAAAGAAATTAATATAATATTAATATAATATTATTATATTACACTGAAATTATATGCTGTCTTGTTTAGTTGTTTCATATACGCAAAGGCCGTCGGGTTTTAAAGCCATTATAAAATCAATATTTAAAACAAACTTACCTTCGTTAACGTCGGCTACCTTCTTTTAGCTGATTCTTTCGCACTTTCTATCTTGAAATTTACAAAATCTTGCAGAAATACGAGTAACTGAGAATATTTGCAAGAAATTTATCAATCATCAACTCATCAAATCAACAAATGTTTGCTATTTCGCTGTCGTCATGCAGTCGTTATAATGTAAACTTTAAATTGGACCAATCAGTGTCCGTTATTCATGACAGTCCGCCATATTTTTGAGATCAGTGAGGATGACCACCCATCGTTGGTGACCGACGCCCGCGCTCATTGATGAACTTTAGACTTCGCTAATGCTTTCGTTTCCCCGGGTGTAAATAGCCGGGGGGGATTAGTACCCTCGCACGGCGCTTCGCACCGCCGGCTCGGGGACTAATTCTTATTAGAGACGGGAAACTCGTCTTAGACGGGAAACTCGTCTTAGACGGGAAACTCGTCTTAGACGGGAAACTCGTCTAATGTGAATCCGGGGGCAGACGAGTTTCCCGTCCGAACTTTCCCGTCTAACTTATCCGTCTAAACGGACGGTAAAGTTAGACGGGAATCCCATCTAGACGGGAAACTCGTCTTAAATTCGAGTTTATCCGTCCCTAAATTCATATTCAGACGGGTTTTCACAGACGAGTTTCCCGTCCTAATTCGGCTATTGATTCGCTGCAGGCTCACTGCATGATTATGGCGAATGTTGACCAGGACGGTTATAAGATAGCACTTCGCCCTCGGTGAATGATTGCTAATTACGAACTGATAACAATAATCTTCACCATCTCTCTTCGCTTTGCTGTGGGCTTTGACGTGAGTGTAGCAAGGTTACCAGTTGAATAGGATCTTTATGCATGACCATAATATATATCGCAGCTCTTGTTTATGGCTTCGTCTAACCACATTTTCCCTCGATATTTTGTTTGTACAGCCGACACAATATTTTTGCAATGTGAGAAACAAAACGCGTGCGTAACAAGTTTTTGGTCCGCGGACCCATTTTTAGGCGGGCCGAGAATACCTCCTGAGGAGGTCTCGGCCCGCTTAAAATTTTGGGCCCGCGGACCCTTAATTTTGCGTTTACACGACAAAAGTTAGGAGTGCCTTGCCTTCAAAAATGGGTCCGCGTGCAAAAATTAAAGCGTGCCGTGCCCAAAATGACTGTCGTGTAAAGGGGGCTTAATATTCATACAATGAGGGTGAGTGAGGTAATTAATATTCATACAACGAGGGTGAGTGAGGGTGAGGTAATTAATATTCATACAATGAGGGTGAGGTAATTAATATTCATACAATGAGGGTGAATGAGGGTGCGTAAGAGTGCTGAGGGAGCGCTAACTAATTAACATACCTCCACTTAATATATGCAATGACGTCACGCGGTCATGTTCGGGCGAAATCGGTCAAAACTTGCTGACCAGGCATTTTTAGCGTCCCTCCGCGTGTGTGATGCAATAGAGGGATTAAGATTGGCTTGCTGTGCGTTGCTGCTAGGTACAGAAACATCTTGAGATATGTCCGTACTTTTTGATGAATTTTACGGGAATATAATTAATTTACACAGAATGCGATTTACTATTAATAGCGAATGCAATGAGTTACCATTGCAAATAATATAGCACACTGCTTATGTTACTTTAAACGAAATAAAAAACGAGGGTTTTACAAGCGTATTTTCAAAATATATAGTTTCATTAATAGAAACATAAATATTACAATAATCCTACATACATATATACTGTTAAGATGACCGATTAAAGAGTCAGATCATACGAAAGCTTATCAAGAACTCATGGAGAAAAAACATTTTAGAACAGTTGTGATACATTATGCCATAAAAATATGTTTTTATCAAATATATGGTCGTTATATCAACCTCGTTCCCAGGGTCTTTCTTAGAACAGCGCGAGGCGAAGGAAAGACCCTGGTTTCGGCTGGTCACGTGTCACCCATATTCTGGGTGATAAATTAAAATGATACTATTGGTAGGGTGGGGGAGGAGCGTGTTTGTCGCGTTTGTAACAATATTTGCAATTTTGTGTGATGAAATTTAAATTTGCAACAAGAAATCGTGTTTGCAACAAGAAATCGTCAAGAGAACTGCAATTAAAAATTAATTATTATCGTGATGTGACTTTCTGCTCTATAATCTAGTGTCGAGTTACAATTCAAGCAACTTGGAACAGATTTCAACTTATAGACCTGCCAAAGAAAGCACGCCTGGGCGACGTGGCAACATACAAGAAAATTCATATCTCTAGACCGACCAATGTGGTTTATATTTATTTAACTGTTAGTATTAATTAAAGTATATCCTGATACTCGGACCAAAAGAATTTATTTATTGATGAGATGTGAAATTGGAACGAAAAGCGAGATCTTTTGATTTCCGAAATATAGCCAAGACGCCAACTGTATCGAGATTGTTGATTATAAAGGTCTTATGATCAAAAAACTTAAATCCCGTCAAAAGACTATAAAATTTCCTGCAAGATCTCAACGATCATGGTATATGTCAAAGTCTAGCTGTCTGTTGAAAATTTACAGTGTTACAGTAAAGTTATACATCAAAGATAAGTCACTAACGACAATATAGTTATGTCTTTCAATCAGCACTGTTAGTACTAACTGTGTTTATACCACATTTATAAATTTTATAAACAGGTTTCGTTTTGACACAAGCTCTAATTTTCTGCTTTATATATATTCTTAATAATACAAGTGAGATTTAAATTTTTTGTTTTGTGAAATAGAATACAGTTATTTTTAATGGACAGCGTGTATCGTCTCTATCATATCCAGGATTGCTTGTGTGTAAATAGCCTACATGTATCACTATATATGCCACTATCAAATAAATATAGAAATATATTTGTCAATTTGAGAGCCTTGTTTTACTTAATAGTAGCATAGTGACTAATGAACTAGAAATAAACAGATGATTGATTGAGACACAATGAAAACTGTTACTAGTAGAAAACTCGAAAATTTATGTGTATTCGTATGGCAGTCTGTGCGCGTCTGACACTGTAAATTTGTGATATATATTATAGCCTCTTAGTTGTCTGTATATTAGGAAAACATTATCAGACCAAGAAAAAGGCTAAAAGCCTTACTATAATTAATGAATACGAATTATGTACTAAATCCAAAATTTTAAAGATAAATCACTGACGGACATTTCTCTGTTTGGCCAGTATCAAATGTTTACATTTGCTAATATTGGGCTTTACCGCCTGTAGTCCTAGACAATACAATATTGTTTCCTCTAAAAATCTTGCAAACAAGACGCGTAGTAACAAGTAAATCGGTGCAAAGCATATCAACGTTTACAAGAAAGGACAAATCTAATGCGTATTTTAAAAACATTACATGTATGTAGAAATGATGACCACTGAAATGCCCCATATTAAAACGTTTGTTATAAAACCGCGCTCGAGTGTGAAGAGAGCATTGAATAACAACACGAAAGAGCACGAGTGACGATTTGCTTGGTTTCTTGACTTGATTGTTGGTAAAAATGTACGAATGCTCTTGTAAATTCAAAGTAAATAAAATAAACAAAAATTAGCAAGCATTTTGAACTTAATAATTCGCAAAATTTATGTTTTTAACTGCTTGTAATTTGATACTTTCCCCACACCCCCTCGGGCGCTAAATTTTGGACGAGGCACGTGACCAGCCGATACCAGGATCTTTCCTAAAGACCCTGGGAACGAGATTGTCGTTATATACGTTACTATGTGTTACCAGTCATTGATTAGCGACGCTTGGGTGCATGCATATATTAACGTACAAAATATCTGTACACTAATGAGGCGGGCGGGTCAGGCAAATCGCGCGGTAGAAAGAGCGGGCTTTGCAGGCAAGTTTGCACAAGATTTCAGTTTTAAAATACATTTATTTCTTCAAAACGTTTTACAAAATTTACAAAGAGCATAACGTTTGGGTGTTTTTATTTTATTTTTAAAGAGTTCTCGTATTCTTGTCTATCTTTGGGGGATAACTTTGGTACTAGCTCGGGTTTCGGTCGCAATAAACATGTTTTAAACTTTGCAAATGTTGTGTCGTTATGCGTTGCTAAGTCATTAGGCGACAAGGAGATAGTTAAGGGATTAGGCGAACAAAAATTTACATAACTAAGTCTATTCCATTGGATAGATAGGGATTATTTATTACGCAGGTGTATGCCTTAAAGCCAGGCGCGAGGCTTTGCGGTATAAATATTATGCAAAAATCCATTTTGCAGCGTAATTGTAAAGTGAGCTAATTGTAACGTACATAAATTGGAAACCGAGAATGTGTTAGAATGTGCTACATGGTGGAATTATGTTCAACATAACTTAGACTCAGAACCGGCTTGAATGGATCGGAGCCGAACTGGAATGGTTTGGAGCCGAACTGGAATGGTTCGGAGCCGAGCTCCACAGGCTCGGAGCCGGCTCGAATGGCTCGGAGCGAAGCTCCACATGCTCGGAGCCGTGCCTCAAATGGCTCGGAGCCCAGCGCCATAAGCTCTATGATTCAATCTTAGGATGTAATGATTCAATCTTATAATTCAATTATTCAATCTCAGGATTCCATGATTCGATCTTAGGATTCAATGATTCAATCTTAGGATTCAATGATTAAATCTTAGGATTAAATAATTCAATCTTAGGATTCAGTGATTCAATCTTAGGATTCAATGATTCAATCTTAGGATTCAATGATTCAATCTTATGATTCAATGATTCAATCCTATGATTCAATGATTCAATCTTAGGATTCAATGATTCAATCTTAGGATTCAATGATTCAATCTTAGGATTCAATGATTCAATCTTATGATACAATGATTCAATCTTAGGATTCAATGATTCAATCTTATGATTCAATGATTCAATCTTATGATTCAATGTTTCAATCTTAGGATTCAATGATTCAATCTATGATTCAATGATTTGAATCATTGAATGAATCAATCTCAGGATTCAACTGAATGATTCATTGAATGATTCAATCATTGAATCATAAGATTGAATCATTGAATCATAAGATTGAATCACTGAATCCAAAGATTGAATCATTGAATCATAGAGTGAATAATTGAATGATTAGATTGAATCATGGAATCATAAGATTGGATCATTGAATCCTAAAATTGAATCATTGAATCATAAGATTGAGTCATTGAATCATAAGATTGAATCATTGAATCCTAAGATTGAATCATCGAATCATAAGATTGAAACATCGAATCCTAAAATTGAATCATTGAATCCTAAGATTGAAACATCGAATCCTAAAATTGAATCATTGAATCCTAAGATTGAAATATTGAATCATAAGATTGAATCATTGAATCCTAAGATTGAATCATTGAATCCTAAGATTTAATAATTGAATCATAGATTGAATCATTGAATCATAAGATTGAATCATTGAATCATAAGATTGAATCATTGAATCCTAAGATTGAATCATTGAATCCTAACATTGAATCATTGAATCATAAGATTGAATCAGCGAATCATAAGATTGAATCATCGAATCCTAAAATTGAATCATTGAATCCTAAGATTGAAATATTGAATCATAAGATTGAATCATTGAATCCTAAGATTTAATCATTGAATCCTAAGATTTAATCATTGAATCCTAAGATTTAATCATTGAATCATAGACTGAATCATTGAATCATAAGATTGAACCGTTGAATCATAAGATTGAATCATTGAATCATAAGATTGAATCATTGAATCCTAAAATTGAATAATTGAAGCCTAAGATTGAATAATTGAATCATAAGATTTAATCATTGAATCCTAAGGTTTAATCATTGAATCATAAGATTTTATCATTGAATCATAAGATTGAATCATTGAAGCCTAAGATTGAATAATTGAATCCTAAGATCGAATCATTGAATCCTAAGATTGAATCATTGAATCATAAGATTGAGTCATTGAATCATAAGTTTGAATCATTGAATCCTAAGATTGAATCATCGAATCATAAGATTGAAACATCGAATCCTAAATTTGAATCATTGAATCCTAAGATTGAAACATCGAATCCTAAAATTGAATCATTGAATCATAAGATTGAAATATTGAATCATAAGATTGAATCATTGAATCCTAAGATTGAATCATTGAATCCTAAGATTTAATAATTGAATCATAGATTGAATCATT